CGTTAAGGCCAAATCTGAGAACCTAGTGACATCTTACAAAAACGCATCTGCTCATTAGACTTCTTGTCTCAAAATCACTACCGGTTGAGCGATATCGACGAATTTTGGTTGTGAACCCGACGAGACTACTTCATGAATGAACAGTTAAGACGAAAAGCCGGAATGACTAATCAAAGGCCGTTGACGTGAATACGAGCAACACAGTGACATCATCGGCATGCCAAGCAGATTGTCGTTGGGCGGATCGTAAAAGTACGATGCAATTAATGGAGGACTCTTCATGGACTTACTGCAATCTGTGTGACTGTCTGAAGTTGAGACAAAAGAGCGTAGATCCTGTTAGTTGGTGGGGAAAGTCGATTTAAAGGAAAACCGAAGGAGAAGGAAATGAGAGAACTCTTATGCGTAGCTGTTATACGAAGCAGAACCTATCTGACTCGGCTCGCTGAAAATTTGCAAACAGGGGGTGTCGAACATATCTGCCTCCTCTCTGGGGAGCAGCCCACGCAATGACTGATGACTGAAAATGGCTTTTAGAACGGAGGTAATTTTTCAGCGCCCTGCAATGAAGCATACGCGAACCGCATTTCGAATAGAACAAAGGTCTGAAAGGAGCGATGTGCAACTGACGAGAACTGAGTCTGAAACGTACTTTTTGCCCAGGACCGGAAAGAATGAAATTTTCTGTGGCGTGGACAAGAAAAAGTGAGACCCGAGATGCAATTCAATAAATCGAGGCAGTGGCGGCAGCGGTGAATTGCTGATGGCTATGGAGCGGAGATTGGCAGGCTTGGCTAACAATTTGAAAAAAAGCATTTTGAATGACGTGAGGTGGTTACCGGTATCGGCATTTTCACTAACCCACCCGCAGGATATATACTGAGCCAGGCTTTAAAGCTCTAACAGTTTTTATATTGTGTTCGACTTTGTGGGAGTTGACAACTTCGAAACCGACTACTGAGGCGTGGTACCACTTACGTCAGTGATGAGTTACGATTAAATTTTAAAAATTTCGAAAATTCTTCTTTTTTCAAGCTCGTCAGGAATGTTTGAGTGAAGTGGACATTCATTCGTCAACCGCGTCTCCGATCCCACCGATACTGATTAAGTAATTTAACCAATGTGATTGAGCCCTAAAGCGCAGCCGTGCCGAGCAGGTGGACATGATAACCCATGGAATGAGCGCCTCGAGGTTCCGCTCGAGTTGAGAGGACAGGGCTACCCAAATACTGCCTTGTCACTTCACCACGATCACTCGAAACCCACCAAGGGTGCAATAGATTCGCTGTTGACTTTGAACTAACGAAGACATTTGAACGGTGCACCACATGACAATAATAATGGGAAGGTCGGGAGGATTGATGGAATCGCGAATCTAGCTGGTTCGTTAATCTTTGCCACATGCAAGCCCTTACTAGTTGGGAAGGGGAACCGGCTTGACAGGTTAGTGGTAGAAAGGTTTCCTGCTGTGTGTCAGGGCTGTAAAGATATCTAAGCTCAACTGGACCGGTGAACAGGAAAGCGCACTTCTGTTTCAGCATTGATGATGATGGAGCACACCGTGCAGGACTTTTGTGCAGAATACTTCAGCGAAACCCCTAACAAAGCGCATTCCGTGTTGAGTATGAGGGTGAGTATGAAGGTCATCTGCGTGATGGACAACTGTCTCGGGTTCTTTTCCTTCTTATTTTGAGACTTCTTCACCTAAGAAGAGGGAACTCACTGAAGAGGGAGCAGGAACAAAGGAGCTGTCTGTCGAGGAGTTGATCACAGAATCTGTCGTCATGCGACGATTCCAACAGACGATACAACGATGGGAACGTCACCTATGCATCCTAGGACCAATCGTCCATCCCAGCCGCTCATAGGATACCAGTTAGCCCCCATAAGAAGTAAAGACTGACCGAATAAATCAAACATGCATTGAAAAGTCCATAAACCGACTAGCACGTAAAAGAAAGGCAGCTTTTGAACATGACAGAATGAAATACGATTGAGATGAAAAGCTGGAATGACTAATCAAAGGCCGTTGACGTGAATACGAGCAACACAGTGACATCATCGGCATGCCAAGCAGATTGTCATTGGGCGGACCGTAAAAGTACGATGCAATTAATGGAGGACTCTTCATGAACTTACTGCAATCTCTCTTGTTCAAGACGTTCCTCCTCGGCACGCTGTCGGGCAGCTTCTTCCTCTTCCTCACGACGTTTGCGCTCTAGTTCGAGCAGTTTTTGCTGTTCATCGGCAGCTAATTGTTTTCTGGAATGGGGACATAAAAATTTATTCCAAAAGCTGATTTATCGGGAAATACCCACTTCAACTGAGCTATTGTATGATCGACACGTTGTACACATTGTTGATAGCAGACCAATGCTCTGTCAAGTTCAAATTCGAAGTCGCTGCTCTAAAACGCACGCCCGTCACATCATTATTAGGACCAGCTCAGGAGCTCAAAAAAGTGGTCCACGTACCCGACGGACGTTGCTGACTAGAGTTTCGATGCTATTCGTCGTCTCCCGAACTGTGCCAGTCCATTTTTCTCGACTGACTGGTTGCAGTTGGTTTATTACCGACATCATTTCGTGTGAACGATCAAGTAGACTGATCGACTTCCGGTAGAGATCGAGTCTGAAACGATATGACGATTTTAAAATTGACTAAATGGACAAAATGGTGGAAAAAGAGACAAGATATCCGCGAAAATCAATCAGTCAATATAAACGCAGAAGATTAAGGAGTGAGCCGTGCATGCGCCTACAAATGCTTTCTCGCAAGACGCTTTCAAAACAGTGTGACTGGTCTCCTCATAAGTTGATCACAGGCCGTACGTAGTAACGTGTTATGGTAGGCGTAAGTCCCAAGCTATCAAAAAATTGTCTGGGAACTGCGTCTAAGACTTCCCAGGAGTATTTTCGGGATAAAACGGTCTAAAACCTTGACTTTCGAGAGCAATCTTTGTCAACAAGTGTCCCAGACAAGACCCAGAAGTCGCTCAATCTTTTTTATGATAGCATATCTAACTGAAGAGGGCTATACCCCTCCCGTCGCAGGAGAAAGCTACAACTTCGCAGAGGGTGCAACTCGAAAAGACGCCACAACTTTTTACTGCAAGTTTTTCCCTCAGAGTGCAAAATTTTGAAGACCATTCCAGGCTTAGATATGGAGAATATGAGCAACTCAAAAAAAGATATAGATAGGAGGATGCCAGTTGGAGTTCAATCTCATCATAAACTCTAGAAGAGGCAGCTTCCATCGAAATGGCGGCCAAAAGAGGTCATACTACACATGGAAGCTNTTCATGAGCCACGGATTCCAGACAGGCGTGAGGACCACGTCCTGACAGGTTTCTTGATTATTTCAGCGATCCAGGGACCTCTACAATTTGCCAAACAGCTTATCCCGTCGAGCTTCTTCCTCACCCTTTTAAAGGAGTGAAAAAGTCCGATCTTCTTAACGTACGCGTCACACTGCCCTGTTCCCCTTCAAATTTCGAATCCATCAATGTTGTCGTTAGTATTTCTCTTTCACGACAAGCTCTATACCCCAGAGATTTGGGGACCTTGATTGGCCCAAGACAGACTAAGACATACATAATGGAATGCCAGGGCATACTCTCCTCATCCTTTTCGGAACCCGTTCTCCCTAACAAATTTAAAACGTTATTCCAAAAATAATATCAAGAAATTAGGGGTTATTCCTTATTCCAGTACAACAGCCAATTAGCTCCCACGTTTTCAAAGCCAGAAGTTTTTGGATTTGGGGCTTTGATATTTTCGGCAGGGCAGGCGTTCCGCTTCGGAGGATAATCGTGAATATTGCACATTTTACCGAAGTTCTTCATGGTCTGCGCCCCACTGCGGAATCGCCATCGATCGAAAATCGATCTAGAAAAAGTCGATATGCACGAATCGAAATCAAATCAGTAGAATCGAGGGAGATGCAAGTGAAAGCTTGGAAAAGATGGAAAAGGCTAAATAGGCATTGATCGGAGAATTTCGAGTGTGGCAGATCTTTCAAAAACGGGGCAACGACTAGTCAACTAACTCAATACATACATATTCAAAGCTTTTGGATTTCCCCAATCTTCTGGCTGCCCGACGTTCCCAATCAGTGCAAGTCTATTGCTTCCCATTTTCCCATTTCCCGACGCTACTGGCTATGAATAATTCACCGGTGCCATTAGTTATCCTATCCTACAGTGCAGGTCGCATCAGAGTAATGAACTCCCCCCGTGTGATTGACCCAGACAGCGCTCCCAGGGTTCTCGAGACGCAAGCACTTCCAGTAGGGCAAAGCGGATTCAATTCAGGAAGGCACTCCAATGAATTTACATGTGCTCTAGTTCGTTTGCATAAGCACATTCACAGCTTGGACGGTCTTTGGGAATGAATTGCGTCAAACAGACAGCTCTCCAAACGGGATTCCTTCGAGCCAAATGGAAAAAACTATCGATAATGCGACATTGCGTATCTCCTAGTCTGATTATGTTGTTTATCGGAATTGTATTACATTTGTTTTTGCAGATTCCTATACATTTTCTCCCAGATGCTCACGTCAGTGTCCTACACCGTCTATCACATTGTTTTCGACGATGGTTACATTGTTTTTCACAGGCATCACCCATTGATGATGTCAGGATGGGTGCCGACAAAAGCACGAAAAAAACAGAAAGTAACACCTTCGCAGGTGGGCCAAAACTGCTCAGGAACTCATTCTAAGGACTATCGCGAATCGGTACTGCCCACGCATGCGGCAAGGAGGACAACTAGGTGTGAGAACCATGGGTTCCAGGTGGGTGTGAGAACCATTGGTTGATCTTTACGCCATTCGATGAACTTCTGCGGTTGAGTGCAGACGTTAACTGCTTGAACGTTCAATCCTTAGAACAACCTTCGACATCCAGTACAATCAGCATTGCATTTCCACGGCAGAGAATTCCGGGCAAATGGAAAAGAGCCCACCTGCGGAAGACACCGTTACTCAAGCGGGCATGTGGCCGGTCGTCAAACTACCTGACTAATCTTCCCCCAAGACAATTGCACTACAAGGTACAGTCCATTTGAGAGCTCTCAAGCGATGAACTAATTTCCTTTCCGTCAATTAGGCTTTTTGTGACGAACGTCACATTGATAATTAACTATATGAAGGCAATTAAACTAATATATTTATCATATTGACACAAGTAAATGGTACTTATTCTCTGCCAATGTTCCCAGTTCGCTGAAATGGGAACAAATGGACAAGGTGGGAGAAGAAGAAGAATGAAGGGCAGAACAAAGTTTTGCGAAATCCTGAATATGTAGTGAAGGGCACTTATGTATGTATGTAGTTTCGGTACGAGGTACCCTGATAAAAAGTATCGTTCCCCAGTGGAAGCAGATTCTCGCTTCCGATCAACGTTCCATAGTTGAAACCTTGCTACAGTTCCCCTACATTCAATTAATGACCCTTAGACGACTACTTCACCCCGGATCATCCCTAAGATTACGTCCTTCTGGGGTATCTGCCGCATGGTCGTTCTAGGGCAAGTCGCAACTGGACACTAATAGAACTCACTAAGGAAGTGAAAGCTTCGGGAGGCAATTACAATTGCAGAAGCTACAATTTGCATGCCCGAGTAGGCGTAAACAATTGGTACAAGCCGGTGCCTTTCTGATGATTTTCTCGTCTGCTAACAGTGGGAACTATGCTGATTGGGAGTAACGAAGTAGACACGCTTCTTGCGAGTCCGAAAACTGACCAAACTGACCCGGGCACAGTATTTCTCATTAACACTCGTTTGTAGTTGGGAGAAGAACAGGAGTAATGCTGGATTAAGAGTCGGGCTTAGTTCTATCAATGAGATCAGAGTTAGGGTAAGGGTTAGATTGAAGGATTCACATATTCCCCAAAGCACAAAAACTTGTCGATATGTTATATGATATATGACCTGTTCAGCAGCAAAAAGAGTTTCCTACCTGTTTGAGGCAGCATGGGGATGGTCCCCAGGAATATCCATTGAAAAGGAGCGCTTAATGAGTTCTAGTTCAGCGTTTCTTGCCGCTTCCTTCTCGGAGCTTGGTCAAACTCGGGAAACGCCCTACTGCAGTAAGTTAACGATTGCTGGGAACTGAGGCCCACAAAATCAATCGGAAAATGGACTTCTGTTGCAAAGTTAATTGGAAATTTTTCTAGGGGCTATTAAGCTATATGACTCAATGAATGTACTACTAGTTAATGAAATGTTTTCAAGATTTATCTGATCAATGGGTTACAGCCGACCAAAGACGACTAAAGACGATTAAATGAAAATCTCGAAAAGTTAATGCGGCGCAATGAATGGAGTGAGCTCTTTTTTCCGAGAATCGTTGGAAAGTTGCATTTTCCCTAAAGTTCGGCATTCTCCGAGGGCAAACGTCTTTCGGCTCTCTCTCTCAGGTGGAAAAACGCCCAAGTACAGGCAACAGCAAGTTACTGCCAAGCTTGGCAGAGACTAGCTCGTAGTCCGCTTTCAATTCAAGATCAATCAAAGGGAAAAAGTCATCTGGCTGTCATTTCAAGCTCCTGAACTGGAATGGGAGCCTTTAGCAGATCCGAACCATCCAGTGCTTCCGAACAAATTGGAGTTTACTACGTTCCAAGGCCACCTTGAAGAAAATGACTGACCATGCCCTTATATGGGAGCTCGGATGAGATTACAATGGCGTCAGACTGGTTAATCCCATCGGGTTGATTCCTTTACCAATCATGGAAATGGTCATCAAATCTTGGTGATCAAGAAGACGCCAGAGCTATCGAATGGGAAAGGAATCGAGGTCGGGAAGGGAGTGGTGGTGGTGTTGCCGAGCCTAGGCATGATTACCACTACCTCATTGCCGGTGGTGAGGGGACAGGCATGCTGGGCTCCCCTCCCAATCAAACCGTAGGTGCTCATAAAACCTACCAATCCGAAATATTGTTCTTGCAGATACACAGCCCACACGGTGACGAAGAATAAAAAGCACCTCAGTGTCCGTTACTGCCTGACCAATTAGCCTCGGGAGACGACCTAAGGGCTCAACTAAGGGACCAAATTTCGAGCCTACTTGATTGAAGTGCAAAAAATCTACACAACCTTCTCAGGCGTTGGTAAATATGGGATGATGTGGGCGGCTATCCTCACATAACCTGATTCTTCCAAACTTGCTGGTGTCTTTTAGCGGATAGCTTAGCATCCAGTCGGTTCAAATGCAATTTACAAAGCTAGCCGTTGCTACGAGCTCGAACAACGGCCAATGACCGAATGTTTCTTGGAATAATTGAATATTGAATGCAACAGACAGGGGAGCAGTGGACCAGTGACAACGATAGCAGTGACGAGCAATGAGATGGAGAAATGAGAAAACACGTCCATGTTCGTGCCAGAACCTACTTAGTCTCTAACGACCGCCAGGCACGCCAACCAGACGAAGCCAATTACGGACGACCCTTGAAATGAAGCTAAAATTCACGACCGGAAATTCCATAAATGGGTAACACGTCTAGGTGGAAAAAGCTTCAAGAGACTCCCTCAGAGAGTGCGACGGTAGGTTCCAGTACAGAGCATCAGCGCTTACCATATCCGCTGAAGTGCAAAGCTATGGTAATAATGAGGAATCATATAATGAATAATGGGGCAGAAAAAAAGCAAAAATGATGAATGTCGAGGAAAATTTAATTTTCTTTAATGGAACTTCACACCCACGTTTATTTGACCGATAAACCCCGAGCAACGCGTTTTCTCCCCAATCATTTTCACGTTTTTCTGGGTTTTTCGTCATCGATAAGCTCGAGCATTGAATGACACGAAATTGGGAATGGAAGCAAAATAGAAATTGCTCAGAGAATCTCTACAGAATAGGCTGTAGCCGGAGTGATGATAACCATTGACAATAAGGAATGGGTAGTTGAAGTCTGTGGGTCACCTCCTCTCTCCTATCCTTCACCTGGGCTCTATAATTTGTGACAAAACTGTTTTTTAAAGTTCGTTCGTTCCTGAACACTACAGCGAAGGCCCAATTCAAAGGTTCGAATGTTTAGCATACTCCTACAAAAATGCAGAGTCCACGATACATTCGAGGTACCCTTACTAGTGAATACCCTAGTAGGTTGCTCCTCTGCGAATAGTGCACCTTCCACAATGCCGTTAAACCATGGACGCTCTTGATTGTGGTCATCTGCCGGTCGTGGAGCCCTAACTACGCCGTTCTTCGGCCCCATAACGACCCATAAGGTATCCTGGAGCTGCAGGTGTTCCCCACTGGGAAATCTCGATAAGCTTTTATCGTGAACTGGGCCAATATGGATGGTAAAGAGGAGTTGGGTCTCTAAAAAGGCAGAATGATATCAAGCTAAGTACATACGCTCGCAAATACTTTGCAACACAGGTTCTGGTTGGCCTAAGAAGGGTNCGCTCTTGATTGTGGTCATCTGCCGGTCGTGGAGCCCTAACTACGCCGTTCTTCGGCCCCATAACGGCCCATACGGCATCCTTGGAGCTGCAGGTGTGCCCCACTGGGAAATCTCGATAAGCTTTTATCGTGAACTGGGCCAATATGGATGGTAAAGAGGAGTTGGGTCTCTAAAAAGGCAGAATGATATCAAGCTAAGTACATACTCTCGCAAATGCTTTGCAACACTGGTTCTGGTTGGCCTAAGAAGGGCCTAAAGCACTTTGGGACCCTTCACCGAACTACAGTTCTTACTGCTGAAATGAAATTGTTACACTTCAGAGCGAGAAGAGTTGGATAGCGACGAGTGAATTCTTCGAAACAGAATGAAAAGGAGGCGTACGGGTTCGAGTCCCGTCTGAGACTGAAGTTTTGTCCCTAAATCGCCATCCTTGTGCGAATGAAAAATCATATGGGTAGAGTGGTGAGAGATGAGCAATCCATACATACCCCCATCAATAAATCAATATATACAAATCCGTTATGATAGAGGGTGATCCAAAAGTTTGCTTGTAGGCAGGGAGAATGAAACAAACGCCATGAAGAATTGGAGGGTGACAGAAGGTAGAAGTAGAAGGAGGCTTTACAAACCTTTTTCTACCTGCTGTCAGCCAACAAGTGAGGGCTAACAATGTCCTGCATAGCCCTGGGGGAATTTGATAGGGGACACAGTAAACAGTAGAAAAGAATAACAACTCAAACAATCCGCCATTCTCTGGGAGTAATAGGTTTTTCGGCAGCCAGCTTTCTATCCACCTGCCCAACGCTGCCACTCGGTAACCATTAACAACGAAGAGAACGTTAATCAAAGGCCCCTGACGACGAGTTTCCGAAGTCCTGTTGAGTGCTGGAAAAACTAATCCTGGACTTATGTCAAAGTCCTCTTTCTGTGGACTTTCCAGTGAATTCTACATGGGAGCCGAGGAGACGAAAGCGATTCAAGAAAAAATTGCAATAACTAGAGTCCTGAGAACAACCATTTTGAAGATGCGACATACCGACAAGCAAAAGGGCTACAATTTCAAACATAATTTCAGAAATTCGATTCCTGAAAGTCACATACGCCATAATGAACTTAGTTTTATGAAATTTCGACTTTTTGCGATGATTATTTCCGGAATTTTTGATGGGTTTCAATGCACAGAGCTCACGCCTAGGAGGAATCGTGCCCGTACTTTTAGATGAGTGGATTTGAGGCAATCACGCTACAATGACATCAATGAGTAATTTGTATTCGGTGAAACAGATTCACTCCGCAAGGACACGGCCATTTTAATCTCCGGTTTTCATGGTTTAAAGGAAGTGTTCATCAATGAAAATTCTTCGAATTTGCTGTTGTCCATTTATCAGTTGATCATTACAAATAAAAATGATACTCCGAACAGAAAAATACAAAAAAGATTGTTCAGTGGTTGCAGGTCAAGTGGAAATGGGAGAAATGGAACTCGAGGCCCAAAGTTAGCGACCAAGAAGAGCTTCGAAGGAAAAGTAGCGTGAAGGACCTCGCCGAGGTAACGGCAGTAACGGCGGCATCTTCTGCCGTTAGGTAAGTAACGGGAGAAGATGCCGCCGATAGTAGGGAGTGGAGGAGACTGATGAGGACAGCGGACCCCGCGACTGTGAGGAATTAACGTCAAGGAGAAGAACAACGAGAAGAGGAAGAAGGAAAGCCTGGTAGATGCGGTTTTGTGGATGGAGGTTTTGTTTCGTACATGAAAAATTGGTACGATAGAATCCCGCCATGGTCAGCCAAGACTTCGATTTTTCTTCAGTCGAGCATTTGCTGCGTTTTCAATGGGTCGGTAGTTTTTTACAGTAAACCGTAGGAGAAAATTGAATATGAATTATGAAGGGAATGGCTTCAGCTAAACAGTCAAGCCCTGCCTGAACGACGAAAAGCACATTCGCACCATTCCTCTTCCCAGAACCCTCGAATCTACTGGAGCAAATTAGAGAGTGCTAACGAAAAACACTAGCGGCAGTTGGCAAACCTATCAGAGTAAATTAGACTCGCGACAATTTAACAAAAAGAAAGCGATTCTAACTGTCAAAACCACTGAGAAGTCATAGCTATTCCTCATTAGATTGGGATAGGGAAACGTTGCCATTGTTGGAAAGTTTTTTCCGCCAATTGAGCTAATAGAACGAGTCTTTGAGCCAGATTATGGCGTCTTTTTGACGGAAGAAGTCCATTCAAACCAAATTGCCAAGGTTTCAACAAATCACTACATGAAGATGATTTATAAGTCATTACTCCCCACAAAGCTCAGTATGATTTCACCTTAAAAAGAACTTGAACATGTAGGCGAACCTACATTCAAGCAGCATAACTTTTAGAACCAGGGAGAGCTCACCAAGCTGCGGGTGTGGGCGGAGTTGGCGCAGTGGATGGAAGAGATCGAGTCAGAACACCCAGTTCAGGCACCCCGCCCTGATCTCCCTTGGTCGATTTAAAGGTACCGTGATTGTCTATTTCAAAAAGGAGTTTCTGCAAAGAGACAGTCTGTCCTATGGAAGCTGTGAAAGCGAATTTTGCGTTGAATTATCGTCTCCATGAATCCGAACCCGCACCCAAACCTTCCTAGCGTTTCTGGAGCCAGCTCAACCAGTTATTCCCCCTCCTTAGGACTATGTCATGGAGTATAACGAATATCCGGCATGATAGCATTTTCTAAGCTGCTCTTCCATTCTAGTGACTCGTTAGGGCCCATAAGAAATGCCTTCGAACCATTGTTCCACTTTCTATGCCCCATTAGCTCTGACTAACGACGTAACCATGCTCCATGACTTCATGGGCATAATCATACGTCTTAGCATGGGGATGCAAATGATAATTTCTACTCGAACTATGAAGATATTCCAGTAAGGACCCATTCTATTCATTTCATACCCGGCAGCGCATGGTTATGGGCTCGTTACGGCTTGCACTAAAACATTGGGCTCCCTTTAACAACGTAGGCCAAGCCCAGTGTCGACATCCACTCAGTAGGAATTTTAAGGAATTTTGTTTGAGCTCAAAACTGCTCAGCTTCTAGGAACAACTCAGCATCAATTAGCTACGTTTATCGTGAAAAGTTTGGTAACCTATGTTTAGGAGTAACGAAATTTTAGTAGGAAAATTCGGTTTTTACGGTTACCGTATGAAGATAGAATACAGTGGACTTAGAACTCTACGAACAACATATTCCACGCACGGCTACGCTCATCTGAATGCCTATCTGTCCTAATCCTGCCACATATACGATGCTTGAAAAAGGCCTGAGCACAGAAAGAGATGAGTCGTCAGCCGGCTGTGTCACATATCACCAAGCGTTCGATCCAGGCTACACAGCCAGGTTACTCAATAAGAGCCGGGGTAGTATACCAGTTCCTGTTTCTGCAGTTTCAGAATCAAAGTCCAGTCGGGTGCAGTGTAGCCCAACAGGCTGAATTCGTAAGTGCCTATTGACAACATTACTAGCACTACTGTTACTACTTCAGGCGTAGGGGATCGTTAATGGAATTCCGCACGAAAGCCATCTCGAGACCATTCATTCGATCTCTATAGGAATTTGGAAATGTTGTTGCACCTACTCACAATGTGGGGGTGTCCCGCCGATGTCGGGCTCTGTGTTTTTCAGTGTGAACAATGTCCACTGTCGAGTAACACCGAATAGGGTAAAGTGCTCTGGCAGGGATCGATCCCGTGATCATGTGATCAGTTGAAAGATTTTTTATGCATTGTAAGACCTCTGCTTTGCGGCTCACAACAACAGATTAGTGAGTTATCCACGGTCAAAGGAGGAAAGCCGGAGAACCCGAAGACTTCCTTATTTTTTCCACAAGTAATCATGCTGTTTACTGCACGGCTACAGTAAGATGCATGTATATGGGAAATAAATGTCAGGGCATATCATGTCTTTTGGAACGCAGTATTACAGAGCTATTACGTTGATATTTCTGTCAGCTGTCCATGGAACACCGTGTCTCGGACGTCAAAGGACGTCAGTGACGTGATGGCCGGAACAGTGTGGTCATTAACTCCGAATGTGGGTTCCGCCATCATCGGCTGTGATGATGACGAACGCGAAAACACTGAAGTATCATCAGGACTGATGCTCACTGTGAGAAAGGCCCTTCAATGCATACTTGATGAAAAAGAACCTAAAACTTTTGAGAAATTAATTCCTTGACCTGAATGTTCACGGTTAGAGGAATCACTGTAAGACATCAGCCTGGTGAATTCGGAGCTTTCGATGAATCTTCTTGAATACCTTATGCTTGCCACTACCATTGAATACCTCACTATACAGCGAGCTAACAAAGGGCAAGAGGCCTGTGAACTCATTACTGTTGAATTTCGGAATTCTTACACTTTTCTCATGCCTGTACGCTCGGAGTATTTATCGCTGGACTCAGCGATTGTTCCTGAGCACCGATCGCTTCTATGTAGCTTCTGCCACGTCACCACTCAAGGCTTATAATTTATTCAACCACTCATTTATTTGCGGGTTGATTTACTGTCCGAGTTAATTTATGTGAAATATATACACACCAGTTGGGCCGCCCGGTTTACGCCGGGCCCTCATTCCTTANGAGCTGGGTTTTCCATATCACTCTCTTATCCTAATCATAAACTTTTGCGGACGGACACACCGACATACCGACAAACACCCAAACCGACAAACCGACACACCAAGTTTCTGCTTTATAAATGAGAGAGATATATAGAATAGTATGATATCTTGAACTGTCCTCGGAAATCTATACTGATTCTCTTCCTTGACCGAAAAAGCCCGACGTCCCACTTTCCAAGTCATTTAGCGCTTATCGTATCAAAATAGAAATAATGAGATAAGTTTCTTGAGTATCTAGGCATCTTCCTTTCTTCTCAACTTATCTTGTCTCTTCGCTACAATTCCTACTTCCTCCCTACTAGCTTCCCCTCATGGGAATAGTGGGTATTATGGGAGAATTGGCACACCATCTCGTGGAATGCTCAGGTATATTGGTCTCCTGTGAAACCCATAATCATAGCGGATTTTAAGGGCCGCCTTTTAAGGCGGATTTCCAAGCAGCCTTTTAACAAACTGTTAAACACAGAATTGGTATCCTGCTTCATCGAACAAAGAATAAACCCGGCAAAAGTGAATGCCACATGGAAGAGTATTTGGAAGCTTCGAAAACGCAGCAGAGCCAAAGAAAGACTGAAGTTTAATTCATGTTAAGCCTCTTGAGGAGACCAGCGGCCCTTCCATGGGCTTAGAGGAAAGCCGTGAGTTCAGCAGAACTTCGGTGCTTTAAGATTACGAACATACGAAACACAGTAACGCAAGAAGGAACTGACCTCGGTTTGAATTGCTTTCGAGCGATGTAGCCACGTAGATGACTTTGAATTCTGGTGATCAACTGAGCTCGATAGGCAATCTTCCTTGCCACTGAAATTGAAAGAACTTTTTGCTCCATCTCAGAAATGACTTAAGATCTGACAATCAAAGGCGACGACAAAACCAAAGTATAATACACACTACAATGGATACTTTCATGAAAATTGTCTCCAATTTAACTAATAAAAGCTTTAGCACAATACTTCCCTTAACAGCTGAATTATGGTAAGATCGTTTTTCCGAGTCGGATTTCTAGGAATAATTGGATGTCGGGAACGGCATTGGCAAGGCAATTACGCCCGGAGAATGCCTATGGAATGGGAAATTGAAGAAGTTAAAGGCTAGTGAATAGGAAATTTCGCTTGGCAAAACATCAAAGGCCATCTCTAAAGTGCCTTATTCCCCATATTATACCGAAAACTGAGGCATAACCCGAATCGTAGCTGGAGGTATAGCTCTGTTACGCTTGACCATAGGCGCCCACGTTCCATTAACCATCGAGGAAGGTGCTTCGGAAAGACTTGTGAGACCGGGAGCAGAGGTAGGTAGAGAGGAAGGGAAGCGGATGCGAATGAAGTAGGCCTAGCACGCCACGAGCGCAACATTCTGAGCCAATGCCAAATTAATAGCCCCAGCAAGGACCAATCGGCCCTAGACGTGCAATAAAATGATGATAAAAATGGCGTCGAAACTTTATGCGTGCCCGGCAGCGGTCGATGGTTCTCCTGGCCATCCAATTAAGTCGGCTTCCCTGCTAGAACAGCGGCGAAAGCTATCTGCTCGTGTATCGGCACGGGGACGTGGTGCATTACCCTCCACCAGAGGACATTTCCAGCCTATCTTTGGGTAAGGGGCTGTGGTAGCCGTCCGCTTGGTGATTGTCAGAGCGGAATCAGTTTTCCGTAAACGGCATTATCCTCCCTTCTGGTAGTTCCTTACAAGTTCGTCTCCACCTGCATTTAATATTGACAGTCCAAAGCACCAGAGGACGTATAAGTAGGAATCAGCTTGATTTGTCTTGGCCCCTTCCCTTATTTTCTGGAGAAGGTGGTTAAGTGACAAAGAGATTATGTGCAAGCTCTTTTTTGGGCAGTAAGCAGAACCAAGGTACTTAGACGCTGCCCAGTAATCCCTCACTACCCTTCTTTTTTCATTTGCCTTCAAATGAATAGGTTGGTTTGGCACTGGAGGGTAGCAATTAATCATTATAACATACGACCGTAATTTCTTCAGCGAACCCGTGAAAAAAGGGAACTCGCGGAAGTTGATGTGATTTAATGAGGAATTATCCGAACACTATGGCTAAAGTGTTGCATTCTCCTGCCTCCCGAGTTTACAGCGGAAATGGAGCCCAAATTTTTCGAAGTTTCACGGATTTTTGCCAGATTTACCGAAACCCAATCGAGAGTAATCCCACTCAAAGATCTTTCCCCACATCTAGACTACGGAACAGAACCTCTTCGAGGAAATGCTATCAGCTAGGAAAATCATCAATGAAACACTGGGTGCTACCTGAGTGGGTAATCTAGCCGAATCTCTCGGCTGTCTCTTTCCCTGCACTACTTTCTCACTGTTTTCCTATGGAGCAAATGCAAAATAAATACTGCCATGAGAATGGTATTCGCTCTGGGAAATTAGCTGTACACAATACCCCCACGCCATCCAACCTTGTTAACTCTCGTCCCAACCAATGAACTGGAAAGCCGTTAGAATGGGAGATAAGGGGCGTCACCGTTCTGCAGTAATTGTTGGATGGGTAAAAATTTCAAATGACAGTATTGAAATAGACTGATCCAAGAGAAATTTCCGGAAAGAGGTGAAACTGCTGGCACGGCACCGGCATCTGCAACTCGGAAAATAATCGAAAAGATCGGAAAAAGGTGTTCAGGGAGTTTATGAAGAAAGCCAATGGGCAGGCAGTCCAGATTACATCTGCTTCCTTCAGCTGAATTCTAATCACTTTCGCAATAGTAGCAGTGAAAATTTGAAAGCTGCGATTGTAGGAGCAGTTGGTTCTGCCTTTTTTTTCTTGAAACTTTGAAATTTCAATGTACCATGCTTTGAGTAAAAATGGCGAACAGAAGTAAGCTGGCTGTTACCAATGTGAAACATCACTATCGAAAAGGTGACTATAAGTTTTGACATGAACGATAACCTTGGAAGCGATAAGCGAAGAGGCGGACTTTTTTGGGCGATAACTCTTCGCCAGACTCATCATCAACTAAACTAACCAAGTAGACCTGGACGATGATTCACGTATCACAAGAAGAGTTAATTGAATAGAAGAGCTAGGAGCCAGGAGCAGCTATGGTGGACTCTCACTGTTAACCTTGGGATGATATCCTGATGTCTTAGGCGTTCTTTTCCGAGGCCTCGGTCAAGATATTACAACTTTTTCATGAACGGTCTGTTTCTGAACATCTAAGGCTTTGACGAAAGCGACTGGCCGAAACGTTAGCCTCACAAATACTGTAACATGTCGGCCGAAGCTTCAAAGGAGAACACCTAAGACATCAAGAAATCCAGAAATTCACTGAATAAATTTATTAGCAGAATCGGATAGCTGTAGAGGCCGCACTGAGAGGATAGGGGTATGCAAACATCGAGCGAGAATCTCGAGAAGAAGCGAGAGGATCCTGGGAATCCATTTCTTTCTGAACGCCAATAATTATACCGCCTTTTTTTTGCAGGCTAGGGCAAGCCTCGTAGTTAGCCATGTTCCGGGAAATCGCCCTTTGCTGTATGAATAACGAAGAATTGACATCGACCAGAATAAAAACTATAATTATCGATTTTACGCGCTCTAATCGATCGAGAACAGCAAAAGCTTGAGTTCGCCTTCCAGTTTTTATTAGGTATAGTCTTACTAGGCTGAACTGACTGAACTGCCTTAGTGAGATTTCTGAAGAGATTTGAAAGTCCTCTCAGAATCTGACACTTCTGGCCGTGAATTTACTTAGGATTTCCAGATAAACGCCTTACACGCCTAAGCTACAGAGCAGCACATCCGAGTCGAGCAGGTAATTGGCTGTTTGTGCAAAGAGCTATCAGCTGCTCCGAAAGCTAAACAGTTTGGTCAGAATGGTCGATGGGACTTAACAACCGTCGGGAAAGGCAATTACCCGGTTGAATGGAAGTTGTAACTGAGCAGACTTTACTTGTTGACTCACATGTACGAATTCCTATCATGGAAAGTGTAAATTATACCTTATTCCATGATCCTCAATCATTTTACCCTTTCTAGCCCTCAAGCACTGGGAATGAAACTTCCATTCCCAGTCATCAAATGCTTATAGGTAGTGGCGATGTTGCCAGGAGAGCCTTAGGCATCACCCCAGATGAATGGACCAAATATTTTCTGAATGACGGCTTATAGGCCCACAAATTAGGCAGATCTTGAGCGGAATATTTGAAGGTAATCAAATGAGAACAGGGTTATCCATTGGCCTACTTTCCAACTTGTTTGGAAATGTTGAAGAGAGTTATTTCACAACGACAGTTCGCTAGGGATTGATTCATGGTCAACCGTAATTGACTACAAATTAGTAGAAGTATTGTAGTTTCCGCTATAAAACGCTGAATCAGAACAAGTACGAATTGGAAGTATGGAAAGTGAATTCCATGAAAAAGCCAAGTTCCTATTGTCCCGCTCTACTAACAAGGATATGTTTTTCGATCTGGAAAATGAACAATTCCATACAAAATAAATGAGAAGTTGGGATGGCAACGATGTGATGCTGTTGACATGCTTAGCTAAGAAACGAAATGCAAAGCCAAAAAGTCCTTCAAGAGGCGGATCATGCGGGGTCTCGGCTACTTACTTATGTATGAATGACGATAGGATGGACTACATTCCAACAATTGAGTGTCTGGAAAATAAAACTTCGATGGCCAGAAACCCCCGCCTAATGGTCATCAAGATTGCTGGAAATCCCTACTTGAAACATGGCCATGAAGGTTGGGCGAAAGTTACAAAGTCAATGGGAGGGAGTCTTAAGAAGGGAGGCGTTGGCCACATCCTTCAGGTCTTTGATTTGAGTCAACTTCACATAATACCTCCCTCTTCCTTTACCACCTAATCTACTGTAGCCTAAGTTGTATGAGACTACAGTAGTCACTTCCGACTTGTCCTAGGGCATGCTTGGGTTAGAGGCACACCCAGTAATAACAGGATATGGTGTGTAACTTACAAAGACAATGATGTCCGGAA